TTAAAAAGCATATAAAATAAGAACAAATTACAGGAAACCAGAAGGAAGGAACTGAGCTTTTTCTCCAACAACCACAGAATCAATTAATTTCTCCATACCAAAATACCTCCTTGGACCAGGAAGCAAATTTATAGTGATGCCAATGGATGAGAAGGCTTAGTGAATCACCTATTGGAAATTGCTCCTATTTGGCACCTTTTCTTCCTCTCACAATTCCAGTTCCACAACACCATCAAAATTACAGGCGTATCCTACTAGTAATTTTAATTTTAATTTTAATTAGGAGACTGATTTGCCTGCTGGGCTTCTATTGAACAACAGGTCCTCTGGTTGCATTGTATTTGGTAGTTCCTGGTACCATGGCACACCCCAATAGCAACAGATGGCGGTGGTGGTGATGGTAATGATGATGACAATTGCCCTTGTGTTGATATCCTTGAATTTATTCCTCTGTGAATAAAAGATAGGTGTGGACAAGGTTGATTTTGACAAGTGTGTGTGCGTGAATGTATTTCCCCTGGAAATATCACTCTAGCTCAGTGTTCCTCAACCTTAGCAACTTTATGATGTGTGGACTTCAACTCCCAGAATTCCCCAGCCAGCAAGAGCCATAATATTTTGGCTCTTCCAAGGATTAAGGAGTTAGTAACTGTACTCATATGCAGATATGAAGTTGTAGAAAGCTTTTTTTTTTATATGAGGCATGTGATTAAAAGGATCACTTAACTAATGCAAGGTACTAATTAGCTCTTATCAGACAAGAGGTTTCCAGTGATTGATGAATTCTTCTAGCAATGTGGCATAAGATTAATTCCTCCTATGATCCCAAGAAGAGGGATGATTGAGGATAGTTATGATAAGAGTTCTGCTTGCCCTTCACTAATTGAGAAGGAGAATGAGGGTCACTGTGAAGTTCATGTGGACCAGCAGTAGACTGCCTTTGGCCCTCAAATCCAAGAGACCCTTCTGATAAAAATTCCGTGGCATGGTTCCTGCCATTTTGAACTGGAAAATGCATAAAACTGCAATGTAAATCCTGCAGTAGTATTTTTTTTTAAAGAAAACAATTCCCCACATTTTTTCCAATCCCCCCCCCCCCACACACATACAATGTCCAATTCCAAGAAAAAAGCAGAAAATCCCGACTCCTCAAAAAAATACTAAACTTAACTCCCAGGTGTTTTGAATACACCTGGCCAAAAGAAATCTTCCTCAGCTTGATAATCTTCCATTCCTAGAATTCGTAGGAATAGCAATGTTACACTTCTATGTTGCCTCCTCCTCTGAATATGGTTGGGCTTTCATGTAAAAAAGTTGTGTATAAAATACCACATACTCACCATTTGAAACTCAATCAATCAAACCCCAAAAC